AATCAATATAATGATATGAATAAAAAAAGTCACAGTGAGCTTTCCACACAGAAAAGCTACATATAATCTACATTTTATGATTAACTATAGAAGGCCTTGACCCATCAAATTAAAGTAACGATTTCCGGATGCGTAGGTCTTCATTAAATGCCCGTGAAAACATTATAGCATACTTTTGCGCGCGCCCTAAAGAAGCTGTATGATTTATTTTGTTTTGGTGGCCCAGAGAAAAACAAATGAAAATGCCATAAGTTTTATGTTAAATTTTAACGGTAACAACATTAGTGAATTGACAAGGACATACGAAAGCGGGTTGGTGTGTGGGCTGCATATAAATACAGTTTGTGAAAGCAAATTTTATAGCAATAAAAACAAAACGTAAAAAAGTTATGCCATACTTCATCAAATATAAAATGAGAGCAGGTTTAAATGAAACATGCATTGCTGATGGCACAACAAGACATTCATAAACCACCCAGGCAACAAGGCTCATAAGTTGGTTGAGTAGCTGCGCAAATACGAAGAAAATTATGAGCCACACCGGCCACTAAAATATGAAGCATGGCATGGGAAACAAAACTGAAATGTTCCAGCATTTCTCTCATCTCGACCAACAACAAGAACAGCTGACAGCATGTCGTACACCCATGTATAGTATTATATCCATGCCCGTTTCGCTGCACTGCTTTATACACGTTGCTGCGCTTTTTTTTATCGCCTCCACCATTTGCCACAATTGGCATGCCGGCGCGGCCGCAATGTTGAGGCAAGAGGTGGCAGGCGGCTACCAGTGTTGAGCACTGCATGTGAAACCACAAAAATGCGGTGAAAAGATTGCTCAAAGTATGGCGACATGGCCGAGGGGAAGGTAAACGCTGCAGCATAAAACTAAAAGAACGAAAAAAATATGCAAACGTGCGCGCAAGAAGCGTGGGAAGCATGCTCCTAGATGAGGCGGGAGGGTAGCATTTGCATTCGCCATAAGTTTAGCATGCAAACTAAATTGTTGCCCTGGTTTTCGTTTTTTTGTATACGTCCCAAACAAACAAGCTAGCATACGAATTTCAATGTTACGATACTCGTATGTGGTATAAAGAAATTGCTAATAAAAATACACGAAAAGTTTCCGTGATTTCATTACTAAATAAAGAAGAAGAAGACTTTTTTAAGTTTTACTAGAAGCTGAATTCCATTCTATATTCGATGCAAAAAACGAACACTTCGTTTGTTGGCATACCGTTATCGTCAAAGGTACTATGTATTAAAAGGTGCTGCTAAATAAAAATATACCTTTATCCTTACTTACCAATTGCATAAAAACGCACACATGAAAGTAAAACGTTAGAAATTCCATCACGTTTTCTGTAATATGAGATATTATCATAATCGAATGTTTTTTGTTTCTTGCCTTTCAAACGAATACAACGCTGAGTATGATTCCTAAATCTTTATATATCACAGAATTGGAAATATGTGTAGTGCGTTTTTGGCTAATCTTTTCTTAGGACGTACCTCTATGATTTCATGATTCCCATTTAAAGTATTGCAATTATGTTATCCATTAGTTAATTTAGCAGCTGGTTATGATGCATGCATTATATTTAATTTGTAATAATATTTTGAATTATATATCAATAATGACTATTCTAGACTTATAAGAGTTCAAAGCGATTAAGCAAACAGTACTTAGTTAATGTAGTTTTTAATGAATGTACTATAAAATTCCAATTGAATTTATAAACAGTCGTTTAGCCGCACAAAATATTTCTTATATATCAGTTTACACTATTGATTTTTTAAAGAGAATCATAAAAAAAACATGCATTGTATTTCTGTAGTTACTGTATGAACAAAATAACGAAACTACATCTAAAATGTATTATTTTTCCAATTCGTAATGATATACTCTTGCGTAGAAAAATATTGCCTAGGAAACTATTAGTGTTGTGAATTTCAAAATGTCTGAGATGCAAACAAAATAGACAGATGAAGTATTAGGGAAACATGGAAAATTTATCAACTAGGGTTCCATTTTATCTTTTTAATAAGTTGCACACTTTCGCTTTATATATAAATAAGATTTTATTGAAGACCCTTCCCATAAAACGGGAGGTTAAATACAAAAGAGATTTTGAAGCAAATGGTTCAGTGAACTTTTCATGGAATCAATTTGGCGCCAAAACTAGCCCGGGCTAGGTCAGCTGTTGCGTGCAATAAGTGTCCGTTTTATGGCTCCAGGGCGTCAATACCATTGCAATCAGTGATAAATCCTCCCCCTACACACAAGCCAAACAATACAAGATATATAGTCTAACAAGAGTGTACATGTTTGTACGTACGAGTATGTCCGAGCTCTTTTCACGCTTTGAAGATTGCAAACCAATTGAATCGAATTGAATTCAATTCAATCGAAAGCGCTTTTCTAAACGCTCAAGGAAGTTTTGGGTTGCGTGCGTGAGCAAACAATGTGAGGCCAATAATAGTGTTTGTGTGTATGGCTGTGGGTGCGTCAATGGCTGTCATTAGAGCGCTTTAAAGAACCCATGCCCATGGATATGGTTGCGACTCAATAAGCTTATCGCTGACGCACTGACAAATTGCAGGCGCGCGCTTTGCAACTGTCTGTGCGGCCTTTGACTTGTGACGATGGCGTCAAAGCGAATCGATTGCCATAAATCAATACGGTTAAAGAGGCAAACACCTCAGTCGATTCATCCTGCTGACAGCCAAAGCGGCACAATAAAGTCAAAGGAATGAAAGTAAATGCGAAGAACAGCCGCAGTAGTTTGCTTAATGGTATAAAAAATGTATTTCAATCTATTTGATTTTGTCTGCTGCCACCCACCGGCAATGTTCTTTGCGCCACTGCGCCACAAGATTTATGGCCATTGTGGTTAAATAAGTACGGCGCTTGGCAGCAGTATTGCAGGCATGTAAAACACAAAATATCGTTCACATAAAAACACCAGAAAGGGTCGCAAATTTCACTGTTAAACTTCAAGGGCTGTCGAAAGGGTTTCAACAACAAATACCGCCGCAACAGTTGAACAACATTTGAGAAAATTATGTATGCAGATTCCTTAAGTTTAGGCATTGAGCCAGGAAATACAAGAGCTAGAATAACCATACTCGGTATCTAGATTCTTCAAAATCTTAAGAACGGACAAGTATGTGATTTCTTCCTGATGCAGGACCCCACTTTCCAGCTATAAGTGATAGCCCCAGTAATATTTAGAACTTTTTACTTAAATGCGACAATGACATGTCAATCTTGATAGTGATATGTTGAATCTAAACTGAATTATTATTGTTGTTGTTGTTGCTTTGACTCAACTCTGTTCTGCTTACATAGAAGTTCATGCATGCAGTCATAAATATACACATACAGTTTAGGTTATTCAGGAGTTTGACCTGCGCGACCTAGCATTTTATTCATCCTTAAAGATGTACATTTACCTATATATATAAATAAAAATGTTCCTGGTATTAAGCTTGATTTCTTTATCCTTAAATACATGCACATGCTTATATATATAAATAAACATGGTTCTTCCTCTAAGATGGATATCTTCGCCGGTGGTGCACTAGAAGAAAACTGTTAAATACCAAATTTCATGATGAGATCAAAATATACGGAAAACAATTTTTTTAGAGCTTCCTCCTAACATTATGCACCGATTTTAATGAAAGATCAATATTTAAACAACTTAAAGGGTATTAGAGTTGCTAAAGTTATTCTTTTAAGAGTGACTTCAATACTCATCGGACCATTGGGCTCTACTTTTAATAATATTAATTGCTTGCATTAAACTTACTCTGCGTACAGATTAGATCTTGAAGTTAAGGTTTAAAAGTACTTAAATTTGCTGGACAAATAAAAACTTTTAGAAGGTCGACAGGTAGAAGTCTACCAACTCAATTAAAGGCAATCTTTCACACATTTTAGAGTGATTTCGTTTTTATCAGTGTACGTGTAGGTACTCGTTAAATTTCTTCACAGTCTACTAGCGTCCTTTCATCGTCAGCTAATAAACGTTTATCATAATGTTTGTACTTGAATGTGAACGAACCAGCAATTTGGTATACAAGTCCCATACCTCGGCTGAAAATAAAAATGCCATACTAGATATAAATTCTGATTACAGCAAGTGAAACTTTGACTACGCCCAGACATTTATGGCAACTTTAACGAGCTGCCGGCAAGAGTTGCTCCTATTACGAGTCTCTGCCAAGCGAAACTGACTCTAATGTGACATTTATAAGTGCTCAGCGATGTCATAGTCGTCATCAGTGCGAGTATATGCTATGAACTGCATTATTCATCCCGCTCTCTTATCCTTTTGAGTGCTTGAAAAGAAAACTTGTGCAAAAATTATGAAATATTATACGACGGCAACTAAACATTTTGTAAGTGAGTAAAAAGATGAACACGAACAGGAAAGAAAATTATACGAGCTGCAAGTTTAATGAGGCTATTTCACATTTATGAACATCACATAGATATAAACAGGATTTCACGATTTCTTCCCGAAGTTGTAATGGTCACAAATATAATTGACAATTTTAAAGAATCTCAAACTAAAGAGAAATTAGGAATCGAAATAGTTGTACTATAATTATTTTTCAAATTAATCTGTCCGTCTATGTAAAAAAAAATTAAATACTTGTTTAAAAACTTGAATTTTGAATGGTATTTAACCAATGCTGTCACAAACTTGAATTCAAACGTGTGACGGCAAGAAATCCTTTTGTTTTGAAACCGAAATGGAACATATTTCAGGAACCATTCGACGCTTTTAAATTTGGTATCTAAACTATATGACTATTGCTAACTCCCTATCGATACAACTCTTAAGACACGAGTATAAGCAAGACGATTACAACTATGGGTCCAAAAATCTATAAGCCGAAGAAGCCATTTTCAGAACTTCATCAGTATTGCACACAATTGGGAAGCTGTGGAAATGATTTTGAGTTGAAAAGAACACTGTAGAAGGCACTTGGATTTAAGAGCACTTTTAATTTATGGTACATAGGGAACAAAGATATAACACAGTCATGTTCGTACGCTTCGTACTGTCGCACATGTCGCAGAGTGGATGGCAATGGGAATGCGATCATCCGCTGTGCATCATGTGCGCAGTCCTAGAGCCAAGTGTGGATGGACGGGGTACTTGTATTACTTTGGAGCAACTGTTGATCGATTCGTAATCACAGAGCCGATGCGGTGTATTACCTCGGAGGGTGTCGGAATACGGGGGCCGGAACTTTGCTGCATCGGTTTCGTTCTTAAAAGGCGATTTCGACCTGTAGCTGGACTGGGATAACGCTTATACATTATTTGGCTTGGCGAATGCAATTTTGCGTTCGGTAGAGAGACAGACTTTGCTTTCGGCTTCGAACTGTTGCCCGAATTGAGACGCTCGCTATTAATATTATTGTTATTATTTTCATTGCGTCCGTTCGCTCTGCTCGCCAAAGGCAATGGGCTGTGATTGGGCTTTGGAGCGCCTTGAATGTTCGAAACCTTAGCATTTGTCACATTTAGTGGAGACAGTATTTCGTTGCTCGGCATTTGGGAGCTAGTCTGTTCCGAAATCTCTGGCAGCACTTTTTCCGACCTGGCGCTGGGCTTGTTACTTCCGCTGCTTTGGTTGCTTCTGTTGCTTCTGTTGCTTGTGTTGCTCATATTGGTAACGTTGCTTTTGTTGCTTCTGTTGCTTTTGTTGCTTCTGTTGCTTTTGTTGCTTTTGCTACTTGTGTTACTTCTGTTTCCAATGGTGTTGCTGCTGGCGGTATTCTTGCTGTGGCCGATGTAGTTGATAGTGTTGATTTGTTCAGACCTCTGCGCTTTTAATTGACTCTTGGGCTGCACTCTCGGTGGCTGAAGCACTTTCGGTGGCTGAGGTACCTTCGGTGGTTGGATCACTTTCGTTGGCTGAAGCACTTTCGGTGGCTGAAGCACTTTCGGTGGCTGTGGCACCTTTTTTGGTTGTGGCAACAGCGGTGCCCCCAACACCTCTGGCGGCCACTCATCATAATCAAAGACAACTCTCTCAAAGGCCACACAATTATCGACCATCAGTGGCATGAAAATCTGTGGCTCAATGTCCGGATGCTCCACCAGCACCAGCTTTCTGTCCAGCAGCAACTTCATTGAAAATTGCAATGGAGGCAACTTGTAATACATTTTGTTTTCTTCAGCCTGGACTAGGACTTTGTTGCCGCCAAACTGTTGCTATGTTCAGAACTGAGTTTAAAAAGTATATACGGGACAGAACAAAAATAAATGTTAATATTCGATGACGGTTCGATCATGTCGTGTGTGATAGTTTGTTTCGAGACTTCCCCCCAGTTATTGGGACACTTCACTACTTGCGCGAACGTCCGGCGACACAGCGCTGATCGCCAGCTGCTCCCGCTGCGTTTAATCCAACCATGCCGCCGGCTCCACTTGCTGAAGCTGAAGCCAATGGTTGAGGCTGTTTTTGTGGCGGTGACTGCCAACGTCGCTGCGGTTGTTGTTGCTGCTGTTGTTGTTGTTGCTGGTGTTGCTGGTGTTGCTGGAGCTGCTGCTGATGCAATTGATGCTGAAGCCTCTTCTGCTTGAGTAGTGCCCGGGGGTTTGGAGCTGCAATAGAACTGACATGATTGCGGCACGGACTATGCAGTCTGAGTATTGACGTTGGTGGCAAAAGGCTCGGCAACGTACCATTGGCCACAAAGGCATTGGAATTGTTGTGCAAGGGACTTGCTAGATTCACCAACACCACCTTATTGTCGTGCAACAATGACGCGGTCGCTAGCATTGCCGTCTCGTCCTTGGCTTCCTTGGAGCGCAGTCGCGAGCACTGCACCAGCTCGCTGGCTGTAACGCGTTTCATAGTAACGCAATGGCCGCAAATGTGTGGCAGAAAGATCTCAGACTCGAAGCCATTGCATTCGGCCAGCACTACATTGCCGTTTGAGATCAGCTTAAGGTTGAAGCGCAGCGAGCTAACGTTCAACATGCCCGGCGCTTTTCCCGCACTGCCTGTTGTGATCTTACGAATGGGCCGGATGCGACTATTGTGAACCCGAAAGCCGGAATTGCTGGAACGTATGGCGGCGAACTTGCTGTTGCTTGCGGCAAGCCCGTATTTGCTACTCAGCTGCCGGTTGTGTATTATGTTGACAAGTGCAATGCGATCGTGCTGGATCTGCGGCAAAAAGATCTCTGACTCATAGCCGGTCACCTCGACGAGCACGACACTCTTGTCCGAGAGCAGTTGCATTTTGAATCTGTGATTTGCTGATGATCGCTTCGTCATGATGGTGTTTCGAAAATTTTTAAGGTTATTAAAACGGACTTCTGATTGTATTTTTTTTTGTGAATTATAGTGGTAATTTTTTTGGATTTTTTTTATTTTGTTTAATTATATGGAGACAGACATGTTACAGAGTTTGACTTTATTTTCCAGGTCCGAAATTGATAATGAGCAACTCGCTTAGATAACATACTATATTATAGTGCTCTTTATATAATATTCATACAAACTCGGATGCTATCTGTCTTTAGTTCCGATTAAATTTGTTATACCTGTTTTATCCATAAGGAACATTTTAAAAACCGTGAAGAGTCTGGCAGGCAAAAACTGAACTATGAAATAATACTAATTATTTTACACTTCGTAAAAAGCGTGCTTGATTATGAAATTCTTTGTCAACTAGGGATTAGGACTTATGTTATTCGTTAAACAAATAGAGTAAATAAAATAAATTACAATTAATCGAAGCATTAATGTATTTATGTACATCTTAAAATATGAAAATAGTTATGAACGGCTGAGAAATAAAATGCAAAGCTCTACTAGCTTTTTATTCAGTCATTTTTTTAAAGTCACTTTTTATTTATATACCTACACGCATATATATTTATATTGTGTACCATAGATACATATACTGATATACAAAGATATGCAAATATGGTTGTAAGTTAATATAAATATATTGCTTTGATCAATTGCCCGGTTTAATTTATACGCTTAGCGCTAACTTAAGTCGATTACACGAAGCCCGCGCCACAAGCCAAACAACTGAACTTAATCACTTACCACTAAAGTCTCTGTTGACTGCCTCTTCGCATACGAAATAAAATTTTACCATCCTAAAAAAAATTTCGCAATATAAAGTCGACCACAAATTCATTATTATGACGCACTATTTCGCCTTAAAATGGTGTTGGATTTGGTTAAAAATTTTCTATTGATCAAATGCATAAATTAATATTTTAACGCATCGTGCATTATTTAATCAAGATTTTAATTTTTCGGACGCCTCTTTTCGCCCTTTAGTATGTACATATGTATGTACAAATTTCTCAAATACAACGCCTAATGACACCAGCAGTTAGTTCGTGAGTAGCTATCAAGAAGCGGAAGTGTTTTTTAGAAAGCGATGTATCTGAGTGATTAAATTATAATTGCCTAAAACTTGGGGCATTCATTACATTATCGTTCATCATTACTAGTGATATATTAAGCGATAAAAAGGTATTTTTTAACCCAATTTAAAAATTGTCTTGCATGCGCCGTTCTTTAAAATTCTGCCACATTTCCAACTAATCTGCCCGGAAAGGGAATGACCAGAATGAGTCGAAAAAGTAATCAACGGGCAGCAGAAATTGCGAGCTATCAGCGATGTACCCGAATCCAATAGCAAAATACTATATACCCCCATATATACGCCTAATTGTATAAAAAACGAGCGAATTTATTGTTCGAACTAATAGTGTCTGCAGTTTTTGGTCAGTGCCGGCTGTATTTTATGGCCAAGTCTAAGAAAATGGGAAGAAAAAGGGGAGCACGTAATGGGGTTGGTTAACATCGGCAACAAATACTTTTTGGCGCCCACTAGCAAAACTTTACAAAATGGCCGTCCTTCGTTGTGCGATTGCCGGCTGTGTTCAGCACATTATAAAAAATTCAATTATAAGCTTTTATAATGGCATGGGTTCGTTTCCACCTGGCTCGTAGGTTGGCAACTTACCGGCTGTCTATTTTACTTTGTACTCTACATTGTCGCCCAGCCGATTTTTAGGTAAAGTACGCATAATGCACTTTATCTTTTGCACTTTGGTGTTGGCCTAGTCTGCGCCATCCACTAAAAGCTTTGCATTGTACATTTGGAAGCTAAAGTAGGCAGGATACAACACAAAAAAGTTGAAAGGATAAGATGCGGCAACCTAAAAACTCCACCTGCGCCAATTGATCTTAATAAGCTAAGGTAAAATTCTTCATTAATAATAACACACATTATATTTTGTTAAATTAAACTGTTTTAGCGGAGATGATTTATATTAGTATTAGGAAGTGAAAAGGCGCCTATTTCTATCAGGATGCCCGATTAAGAAATTTTTATTTAAAATATTAATTTATTAAATATTGATTATTTGAGGTTTAAATAGTTTATTGCAAAAACAGTATGTATATGTGCGCTAGATATTGAATAGATTTAATTTCTATCTATATATTTTGATCGATCGAAAAAATAACTAATATATATTCCCAATTTTAAAACTACACTATAATCTATATATACCTCACGTAAATAAATTTAATTTTAAAAACAATTAATACTTCGAGTTTGTATAATTTGTTGTAAGTCATCAAATGTGAGGCTTTGAAAGGGTTAAGCTTTTCTAAATAAGAATGAACTATTTTTATTTATTTATTTAGAAAATCAACAAACAGTGCTGTCGATACAAATACGAAAACTATGATTTATATTGGTGTGTGGTGTGTAAACGGGCAGTTACAAATATTTAAAATGTATTTCTAAAGCAAAATTTATGAACATGTTATTATTCCCAAAGAGACTGCCTTTGAAGGACACGACAAACAATCCCAAAGTAGTGTGATGTGTTAAGTTCGTCCGAATAGTGGCTTTAATTCAATTTTTTTTTTATTAGAAACTGTCACAGTCTGATAACCACCCGTGAAGGTGTGATACGCATTGCTACTGAAATAATGTTTTCGTCACCTTTCCCACAACGGCCATGAAAGGACATTGGCAAATTGGTTTTTCATGTTTGACATGCATTTGATTTTTATTTCGTCGCAGATTCAACTGCTCCTGTAGGCTGGCAAAGGCTCACATTAATTTCACTCACCGGCAACGGCATATAAATTCTGAATATGCTTCAACGCCTTTGTGTGTGTGAGTGTGTGTGTTTAGCCAAGTAATTTAATCTGACAAAAGCCAAAAATAAAGTAGGCTTAATGTGCGAAAAAGTTGACAGCCCCAAGGGCAGACAAAACTGCGAAATTGTATTACTTGTATTATTTTTTCTTGGGCTACAAAGAAAGCCAAATTTGCATAAGTAAGAAAGTGTGAAAGTGACTCGACACAAACAAACAAGTGCGTGTGTATATGTTAGCGAGTGTTTGTGTGTGTTTGCGTGTGTTTGTGTGTGTGCGTGGCTTTGTTCGGTCTTGTGTCTCTGCTGGCGTGTGTGAGTTTTCCGTCAGCCGCTTGTGCAGTTTTTGACAAATGACTTAAAGCCTTTGGGGCATAAGGCAATGAAAAGGGTTAAAGTAATTTGTTGAGACTGTTGAATATTGAATGTGGCCTCGTTGTGATGCGGGCACACAAACACACATAATCACACACAATCACACACACAAACGCATTCATGTAAAAACAAAAAGAAGGCGCGCGACAATAAAAATGAAATATTTTTATATAAACAGCAACAATAACACAACTGTAAAGTTTTGCTGCGCAAAATTGTTTTATATTTTTGTTGTTGCTTTTCCCACATAAATTGCTTGCGAAAAAAAAACGAGCCGCTTCATGGCTATAAAAATATACATATGCGTATAGAAAATTCATATACACACCTACACACATATATTTTTAGTTACACACAAACATATGTATGTTTGTGTATAAGCCGGCTGAAAAAAGTTGTCACGTACGTATGCGATAATCAAAAATTTATAAACCATTAAATTTCTAGCAGGCAAATTAAATTTTGTCACATATACTGGGTTGTGTTTTCCCCATGCTTTCCCATTTGACAAGTTAATTTATATATACATACGTATCCCAACAAATACACTGAACAAAACTTATTACAGAATGTTCAGAAGTTTGTTTTAAGTTGGGCTCGTTATCAGCAAACATCTTGCAACATTTAGAGTAATGAATTCGGAATGGAAAATTTAGAAATAAATTCCAAAAATTAAGAAACAAAAAACTACTCTTATTATAAGCTCAATAATATTTGTGTACATGAATTTTATGATTTATTAAAAACAGACAAATAAGAGAGATTCCAAAATGTAAATCAGCATACCATTCTAAATATTTAAATTAGTCTCCTATCTCGCCATGGTAAGAAGCATTTTTTGACTTTAAAGTATAGTATATAAGCAGGCAAGCATACATAAATACTACTGTTATGTTTTTAAAGATCAACTTAATTGCGAACAAATATATATCCATAACACATTCGCAAAGATATTTGCACATTTTTTAAAATAAGTATAAAGCATTTTCTTAAACGATTGAATAATTGGAAGAACAACTATATTATATGCATCTCATTATTATTTTTTTTGTTATTTTTGTTAATGATAAAAAAATCTCAACAGATTTTAAATACAGTATGGAAAGCTCAGGGTTTCAATAGAAAATTTGAATTTTATTATAAGAGTCTGTAGATATGAACATTTTCGCTTTCAATTTATTTATGCTTATGATGTATACTTAGGTGCTACTATTGATAGACGGAGTTAAAGAAATCTAAAATGAGAAATGAGTTGTCAGTTGTGAAATGTGGAGCCAAAGTCCTTTTCGCTGTGCAATGAACGACACGTTTTTGACGCTCTTCATCATCCGATGAAATCACACAAGAATAATAATAATAAAAGCGAGTGATAGCAGGCCCCAAATACTATAAGGCGGAAGCAGAGCCAACAAACTTTCTTGTCCAGTCTCATTTTGGTTTTATGGCGCCAACTTGCGAAGATGACTACAAGGATGCCAGGGATGTCCAATAGGATAACGACGGTGTGCGTTTAATCCGGAAACTTATTTATGTATGTATGTCGTTCCTTTCCGGTCGTTTGCCTTGACTCATTTCTTGCATGTGTAAGTTCGGTTATTGTTTGCCATACACAAACTCCCCAACCTCTCTCTCTCTCACACACACACACACACACACACACACACACACACACACACACACACACACACACACACTAACTATACATGCACAGAGACGACACTTTCTGCTGACACGCCCATGCACACTTTCACTTTACATAAGCTGTTAGTGCTGCTGCCTTTTGTAGTGCTTACTGCCTGACACTTTCCCGGACCTTCCATGCTTCCCGCTTTGTGTGTGTGTGTGTGTGTGTGTGTGTGCACAACACTTGATAATTCCTTGCATACACGCACATAGCCTCGCTCC